GCCAAAACAAAGCCTCAGTGTCAGCTTTGCACGCTTGACTTTCATAATTACGAGATACTGCTGGTTCGTGGCAGTTGTGAACATACATTCCGTCACATGGTTTCCTCTCAAACAAAGGTACCAACAGCTTCTTGCAACAAAGGAGACCGCAATTGAAACCCCCATGCACCTCCTCCTCCCTCCTGACCAGCCCTGCAACAGGACACTCCCATTCGAGTCCGGGTGACGAGACCGGCTGTTGGCGATGAAGACCTTGTGGCCCTGCGAATCCTCTGTGAGGGAGAAGCGCATGTCCGTGCCATTCTCGGTCCGCCAAGGACGGCGAGAAGGACGACGACGACGTGCTGCGGTCATGCTGCGGTCGAAGGGGTGGAAGAAAACACGGTCGAAAGCGTCAGTTGAGAAGAAAGCTGTGTTTTGGTGGACAAAGTGGCCTGCCGCAAGGCAGAACAATATGTCTGTTGTAAACGAAATGATTGATGTCCGAAGAAGTCCAATCACTTGTCGACCAACGAAACGGATCAAGCTCGCTCCTGAAACGGGTCTTTCAGCTTCTCAAAACGGGTCGGGCATGGTAACCGTTTTGTATGTAAACATCCACATTTTGGCCCTGTTTGCAACGCTTTCTTCAGACATTCGGCCACCTTCCACCTGTCCACCCTATCCCCCACTTTCCCTCGCAGAGGTGATGTCACCGATCCAAGTGGCCTCGTGGAACATGAACTTCTGAATGGCTCTCTGCACGTCTTCTTTGCTGATGTTCTGCCCTGGCAGGCCAGGAGCCCCGTTCGTAGCGTTCTTGCTCCTAGTATCTCCTAGTAGCGTTCTCGCACACAAAGTGAGTGCTAGCGTTTGCTGGAAGAGGGGCGTTAGAGATTTCTTTTGTTGAGTGTTTGGAGTATAACATTAAGAGGGTTGGTTTGTCTTCTCTTTCTTGCGATGAAACAAGAGAGCTAAGCTCACAAGCAATCGTACATGCCGGCCAGTGACGAACCACACGGTGTCTGGCTCTGCCCAGCCGCCTGCACCCCAGTGACGCATGATGTCATCCAGGCGGAAGGTCGTGCCCTTGCCATTCTCCTGCAGACGGGAACGTGCCGCTGCTTCGTTGCTCACGGGATGAAGGAGGAATCCACAAACCGGCCTAGCAACCTGGAAAGGCATTGGTCTTCCACTCTAAAGGAGCGTGACGCAGACCGTCTTCCGACGGAACCCGCGCAGCGCCGATGCGATCGACAAGCAGATCGATCTTCGGCTGGGAGTCGACAGAAACCCCCGTTCCTCCAATCGACTGTTCGCCTCAGTTTTGGTTTCTCCCAAGCATTCTGCCACTTTTGAGCCTCTCTTTCGTGGCCTGTGGCTTGGCCTCTTCCTTTCTTTGATTTTTCATATTCTTTCTTGTGTTTGCTCTCTTCTGCGTTTTCTTTCGCTTTTCAGCTGCTCTTTGCGCGGTGGTGTCTTTGGTGGCACTGAGGCAATTGCAATCCGTGCCTATATTCGGTTCTTCTTATGTACATCTGTCAAGCTGGCAACAATCCAATGCCAACTCCGTCAGTTGTTTCTGACATGACTTGAATTTGTGCATTTTTCACTAGCACAAAGCCATAGCATTAGGAGAAACAACATGGAATTACACATGTCAGTTGTGACGTCTTCATGAAAACCTCAAAAGAAACACACCTGTCAACACGTCATTTCACTGTCATGACTCCCAAACTCGCAGCAACATAGCAACAGTTCTTGGGCCGCCTGGATGCTTATTGCCAACCACTGCAGTTGCAAACACAGGCGAAAACTACTATTCTTCATATGTTTGCTCTTTTCGTTCTCGTCCGGTCCTCCCTTTCTCTTGTACACGGTATGATTCTTCTTACCTTGCTTCTACCGGTTGTTTACTCCACTCATTCTGGGCAAACGAGGCTGAACAATGTGAAATCGCCAAAATGAAGAGTTGGAAAGTTACACCTTCAATCAAAGGAGTACACTACACAGCATTGGTCCACAAGTCTTTGTCCCTCAACCCAAGCAAACAATCAAACACGTGGGATTGACAAAGGTTGCCCTTTGGCCAAAAGCAACAAAGCAAGAGTAGACACCAATTCGACGAACAACCTCTGTTTTCAAAGTGCCCAACCACAAAGAGACCAGTAGACCACCGGTGATTTGTCCCTTCTTCGCGCGTCCTCCAGCGGCCGTAGCCCCTCTGGGCGAGCGTTGCGGTTGCCTTGGGCATGGTTCAGACAGAAGGACACATGGTGCAAACAACTTCCAGGGCCAGGAGCGATCGGACGCTACGACCGTAGCTCCTGGCATCGCTACGAACGGAGCGGTCGGATGCAAGTCACACAGGAGCGACGTCTGGTGACCCAGTCTGGTGGATCGTCGGGACCGTTGGTGATTTGCCTCGGTGCGGTGCCTCACTTTCGTTGGTCCACAAGGTTCATCTTGCACCTGATCTTCAGTTCTCATCCGTGCTTGGAAGATTGCTTTCGGGGAGGTTTTGGTTCATCTGACGCGTCCCAACTGTTTCCAGCTTTCGTTCGCCACGGCGCCCCACAAAGCCTTGTAGAACGGCAATGGCTGGTGAACCCTTGGGTACCATTTTAGGTGAAAACACCTGCAAACATAGGACTAGAATGGTGAAACACATACACTGGCCGAACACATGTTCACTGACCGTTTGACCTAGAGCCTGGTGTTGAGCCCATGACTTGCCCTTTCTTTGGGGGGGTCGGTCATCCCCCTTAGAGGGGCAAGAGCGTATTGAGCGGCCGAGCGGCCGAACGGAAAAACATGGTTTTTCACAGTTTGTTACAGTAAGTGCTTCTGGTTTCATTTCTAATTAATTTAGATTGATTTTAATTCTAATTCTATTGAATTATTGTTTCTAATAGCTTCTTGTTCCTAGTAGTAAGGCCCCCTAGTAGCGTCCTTGCTCCGTTCGTAGCGATGCCAGGAGCCCCTAGTAGCGTCCTTGTCCCCATCGCTAATAGGACTCTAATAGGTTGCTTGTCGTTGTGAACGCCGTGGGCACTGAGCCCCCGGACGGCCCAAGGTCGTGAGGCCCCGAGAGATGCGGAAGGGATCCATGGCGAAGAAACACGTGGCGCCGGAGAAGCTCGTGGTGAAGCCCGTGAAGCCGTGGTAGGAGGTACACCTCCTAGCTTCTTGTTACAGGTTATTTGCTCCTAGTAGAAATGCCCTTTGTTCCTAGTAGCGTTCTCGTTAGGAGGTACAGGTGATAAAAGCTGTGCCCATTGCGACAGTGCAAAATTATTATGTTGAGGAGAACAAATGTCCAACCAAACCCAAAAAGCAAACAAACAGGAAAAGAAAAATAAAGCACAAACATGAGAGCTCACACAGACAGCACACACATGAGAGCACATACATGAGAGCACAAGAACATGAGAGCATACACACTAGAGCACATATATCAGAACATCTGCACTTCGAGGTTCACAAAGGGTTGCAATGTTTTAATTCAAAGGTCGACAACAAAACAGGATTCGACCCATGAAACTCTTGTAGAACTCTTTGGCGAGACACTCTTGCTTGGCCTTCTCTCTTGTCACTCTTGTAGGACGCTCTGGTGCACAGCTACTGCGCGACTCTTGGCCACTCCTGTACCGACGCGCTTGACACTCGTGCGACACCCCCGTCTTCAGACTGTTTGAACCCGCTCTTCCAGGACACTCTTGTGGATGGTCTTGCTTGGCGCTCTTTTGCATGATCATGTTGTAACACAGTGCGAAGTGTCATTGGATTGCATACATCTCGTAGCTCCTCTCTACAGAGAGAGCTGGCTGACACGCCAATCCCAATGTCATGGCAACATCACCTGCCCTAAACTGATGCGTCAAGTCTCCAAAACGAGCATTTCGTGTGGGACTTCCCCACAAGTCAAACTGTGAACCCTCATAAACGACCGTTTCGTACAACACAAATGGTTGTGATAAACCGGAGCAATGTCACACGAACACAGCTCTACCCACAGACCTCCATTCGCGAACAAGACATAGTTGAAAGGCTTCCAGAAACATAAAATGTCTCTTGACATGCATCTACCATGATAGTCCCTAAGACAGCACTGACGGTAGTCTCTATGCGTTTCACAACTGCTTCATTCGGAACAGCGTTGAAAGTGGTTTAGGGGGCAACAAGAGAAGAACACCAAGTAAGCTTGGCACAAATCTCCAATTCGTGGCACTCATCCTGATGCTGTAGGTCCCTTCCCGAGTGGCCTTTGGTCTGACCTGGTGCAGGCACGTGCCATGGTAGTGCTCCTTCCGAAGTGCTTCTTCTAAGAAAACAGGTGTCTGCAGCGGTGCGGGGAACTGCCTCACTGTCGCTGGGTCCGCTCTCCTACTCTCCACTTGAGTCACCGCGGGACGGTGGCGAGTGACGTCGCGGCTCTCCGGCGCCCCATCTGACCGACGAGCGGAGGACAACAAGCAAAACCAACAAGGAAAACAACGCCATGTTCTAAACTGAAAAGAAACAAGAACCAAAAAATGAGAGACAAACTCCACAACCGAACATGTTTTGGGAGTGCTCAGCTCAAATAGTTGCGTTGGTAACTTGTACAGCGAGCTCCTGTCACAACCGTGTCAGGTTTCCTCAGGAAAGACACAAATTGAACATCCTATTTGGTCTCTCAAATGCTTCGGCACCTCGCCGCCGAAGGTTCTAGCTTAAAGCAACCTCCCTCTGGTTTGGATCTCCTCTTTGCTTCCAACCTGCTTTGGACACGTTTCAGCTTGAGGCGAAAAGACACATCTCACGTTTCGGCGGTCCGCAGCAGGCCTCTTTTTGGACAATACCGTATTGGGATCCTTTTTTCAGATCTTGAGCCACCAAGGGGGAGAAATTCGATATATCCGTTTGGACATGTCCAGGCAATGCCCTGTTCCATCAGTAGAGGTGAGAGTTGTTGTGCCCCCAACCCATGGATTTGGCCTTTCAAGCAACCCGACCCAGGGTCAAATTGTCTCACCTGCCTCGGCCGTGTGTTCATCCAGGCAGAAGATCAAGGTCCTCCGGAGAAGGACAGGAATGGAAGACATGTACGCTGACTGGATGGAACAAACAAAAGCCGTCTTGCTTGGCACCCTCCGCACAAAGAAAACAAACAGGAATGGGCATTTGCCGAGAAGCTGGCAGTCTTGCAGGCCATGCTATGCACCAAACCACCATGTTTGTTTAGATGTCATGAACGCCCCGAGAACCAGACTAAGTCTCGGGCGGCCAAAAGCACCGAGGCAGCATGATGCCATAGGGAGATATAGGCCGTACATGTTTTGTCCTTCTAAATGCTTTAGCTGATTCAGCATCTAGATTTACATTCGTCTTTGCAAAGAAGCCTACCTTGCCAAGTAAATCAGTAATCATGACAATGACAATGGTGACCATCACGTGATGATGATGATGATGATGATGATGATGATGATGATGATGATGATAAAGATGAATAGTACACAACAAATTAATGATCTTGAAGCTGTTGAAGTCTATGTTGTTTCAATTCTGAACTCTTCACCAAAAACGATTGGAAGGTGCTTTCACACGGAAGTGGAACACTGGTGCGAGCTTCGCCGAACGGTGGGGCCACGCCACGCCACGCCGTGCCAGGCAATCTGGACAGTCCGGACGCCTTCTGGAACTCGATCAAATGGGGAATTCATGATAAACAAAAGACGCGCAACTGTTAATGCCATGTCATATGCAAGGCGAACGTACCTTGTGTTTAAAAACACAGGATGTCTTTTTTCTTCGTGTTTGAGGCATATGCTGCAGCATGCAGAACCGGTTTGATCCTTGGTGTATCGGCTAACCCGGCCGGTTGGCCGACCCGGCCACAGTCCTCGCTTCGTGCCCAAAGGCTGCAGAGCGGCGAATCCAATTGGCCAAATACCTGGATGGCCGCCGATGTCGAAACGAAGACAGCAAGGAGATTCGTTACAAATGCCAAGAGGATACATTCTCACCTTGGAGGATGCTCCAGCCGCGATGTCGAAACGAGTTTCGTTTGGTTCTTCGGGGTTCAATGTTCAAAATGCCCGCAGCTTCCGTCTCACATGAATGGGGGGTTTCTGGTGGTGTAACAGTTGGGGCTCTGGTGGTCAAATGGTTTTAGACCTTACCCGATTGAAGTCGAATCCGACTGAGCTTCGTGAAGATGCCCGTGAGAGCGGCTCAAGGCCCTCCTCAGTGTCTGCTGCAGCCCGATGCGGCCCTGTACTCCCTCCACCCGGCCAATTTGCCCGTGCCTGGCATAGCGTTCCCCATAGACTAAGGTGAACATCACCACAGGTCTTCCTGGAGATCTTTGGCGAAGGGATTCGGTGCCTGAAGATCGTAGCATCTCCTTTCAATGAGAGCACCCCTCGACAAAGATGGACGAGGCCATTGGAAATACGCCAGCCCGGTGGAAAATACAAGGGCAACGGGCAACAACGGTTCATAACAACGACCTCAAGAAAAGCAACTCAAGCAACTCAGTTTCTATGATAATCCATTGTCCATCTATCCAGTGGCCATTGACCCTTTCCCACAGCGATTTTGACACGTCAATCAGGATGGACGTCCAACGAACCATCCAGGGGCAGAAGGCTGCACATCCACAGGTTTCTTCACACACCTTGCCCCAACGAGGAGGTGCATTGTCAGGGGAGTTTTTCCGCCCCAGGACCCTTGGCATCTGCGTGCGTCATCGCATGCCTGGGGAACCACCGAGAACCGCCGGGCTCGCCGACGGACGGGTTCGACGACTCGACCCTGCATCGCATGTCCGTTGCACATGTTTCTCCCTTACTGGGGGGTTGCTCCCTGGCACTCTCTTTCCGGCAATAAGGAACCACTTCCATGAAAACCAGAAACACCTGGCTGGTGAGGAAGCTCACGCTGAGTTTCCCTTCAAAGGGACGCCGGCGTGCGCTTAAGGGCGCCGCCCTGGCCTCCCACAAGGCCTGCTCGAGTCACAGACCTGGGAAGACACAGACTTTCGACCTGGGAAGACCAGCGAAGCTCCACCGTTCAGAGTGTGATATGGGCATCAACTTGAGGTGATGAAGGATTTCTTCCTGTTCGCTGATAGGTGATGCGTGAGATCATCTTGAGATCATACCACTTAGGAAGGACATTTTGTGACGTGACATGATGTAGATTCTGGCAAGCTCTTTTGCACCGACTTTTCATTCTCCAGCCAACATGCAACCTCGTCTGTCGTCCTACAAAGCCTACAAATGTAAAACAAACACAACGAACTCCTTCTTGCAACTTGGCCTCCACTCCACTAGTGCCCACTACCTCTCCCAAATGGTGGAAAAGGGATGCCTCCAAAGCCTGCCATGTCATGGAAAAACATGAGAGTCCAACTAACCAGAGCCGTGAGCAAATGTCAGAGTTCTGGTTGGATCGTTGGAAGTTGTCTTCGTGGTTTCGCTTCACATCCCGCCCTTCACATCGCCTTCGATTTCTCAGCTTGTCCGATGAGCTATTGGTGAGCCATCTAGTGATCCCCAAGTTCGTTTCACATCTATATCAGGTGTTGGACTTGGGTGTTGGACTATATCAGTTTGGACTTCCGACTTGTCGGTGTTGGACTTCGTTTCTCTGTTTCAAAGACCACATCCGAATCCTCACGATTTGTGTGCATGCCGACGCCAAACATTGCCACACCATAGCAATCAGTTATGGACAAAAGACAATAGCATGTCACAATGTTAATCATCTGACCAATCTGGGTCAGTTAAACCACATCCGAACTACGCGCACCCTTTCAATGATCATACCTTGCAAGGCCGATGCGTACCACACAAACCCCAAAACCAACCATCTTGACGCCTGTACCACACCATCAAACTTACTCTTCACCTTGGAATTCAGATGTTCGACTCCCTCTGCCACCGTCGTCCAGGCGGCATCTCCAGCGCCCGCAGCAGCTGCGCGTAGCTCTCGCTGCGCCCGAAGCCGCTGCGCCGTTGCCGGAGCGCCGCCACGGAGAAGCCATGCTGCGGGAAGCGAAGCGCTTCGTGTCGAAACGGTGCCGAAACCCATGGGGAAGGTTTCAGGATGATTCTTTGGGTGGGCGGTTTCCGTCTTTGAATGAAACTGAAACCCCTAGGAAGGCTTTGTGAGGGTTTCTTGTTAAATCCCACAACGACAGACATTTGACCCAGCCGCACATTCAGAACTGTTCCAAAACTATGCCCTACATTTGAGTAGTTGCACACATTCTTGGCTGATTGCCGTCAAACATGGGGAACTCCCCCACCACTAGGTTTGATGAACTTTTTCGTCTACGAGGTAGTTTCTGGTTGTCGATCGACCCGTTTGGCATGGTGAGAACTGGTGTGAGTTTGAAATAACCATTGTTTAGGACTTTAGACTAGAAGACCAGCTCTACCGGCCAGCTTCAAAAGGTAAAGGATACGAAGAACCTCTGCTAGAAGGCTGGCACGAGAAAACTCTGGAGATGTCTCCTTGATGGTGCCCAAGCTTGAAAAACTAGAGGTGTCTTTTTCGGCTCCCATCCTTCTTTAAATTGTTGACTGGCCAAAAGGTCTACACTGTCAACGCCACCAATCCCAACACCACCAACGACGCACGCTCGCCATCTCACAGTGCCACACTCTCGCGGGCGCGCGCGCGCGTGTGGCGCACCGGTAGCTGATGCCGCTCGTCAAAGGGATAGAGGAGCTCACTGGGATGGAAATCGAGCTCGTAAGGCTTATGCCTCGGGCGATCAACATGATGGAATGAGGGACACAGAAGAAAGCGGTTCTCTTCGTTTTTGGGACATTTGCTTCAGCAGTGAGCTTTAGACCGCTGGGTAGATGAGCAAGTGCTTATACTCCGTTGATGATTCATTACCTGCAATGCTACTTCCTGAGAATAGAACATACATTTGATTTTGCGCAAAGTTAGTTATTGCCATGATTCATGTAGCACCGGTAGACTGGCACTTGTGAACACAGGGGTTTGTTGCTCATGTTGTTTTGATAATTTAGTAGTGGTAATGATGCATCTGTAGAACTTTGTCAATCCATTGGTCAGTCAGGAGACCCTTGCCGTACTTTCTGTCCACTCCATCTTCTCTGAATGAAATATACTTCATGTGAGTCCGGTGACTGGTTGATGCTAGAGCTATGGACTGCAAAGAGTGACAATGGATCCTCAAACCAGAACCAATGAGTTAGACAGCTGCAGCGTGTGCGCCCATGGGGGGGATAGATGGGTTTCCCATAGCTTCTTTCATCGTAGTTCTTTGCTCCAAAATGTGACAGACTCATTTAGAGTTCGACACCGGCCGGACTGACAGCGCCAAGGCGCTGATATCTTGGTTGATCATCCACAAATCTCCTGTGCTTCGTTCGGGCTCCGCCATTTTCTTTGACTCCCAGGTCGTGACCTGGGTACCTTCAATGATGATTCAAAGGGGTCAAACAAAATGGGGACCTTCAAGATTTGCATCAAACCAGCCTTAACACATGCATCTTTACCACCAGTCTACCACCGAGTCCCGAAATTTGAAGTGATGCCTGGGATGTCCGTGAGCCACAAGATTCTATAGCTACTATGCACAGAGTGAGTGAGTGAGTGAGTGAGCGAGGGAGTGAGTGAGTGAGTGAGTGAGTGACACGACCCACTTCCAACTCTTGGATACCCATTCGCCCACGCCTGGCTTGTACCATGAGGCCGGTGCTGAAGAAGAAGCGGTTCTGGGACCGGTGGAGGGAGGGACGACGTAGGAACCGGCAAAGGTTGGAACTGTGCCTCCATGAAGCCAAAAACACTGGCGAAGTGGGTCCACAACATGAGGAAGACCATCTGTAAAGGAAAACAACAAAGGCCCCCAGACTTGATCAACCGATCCCATAGTTGTTTGGGGTGTGAGAGAGCAGCTTGGGCAATTCAATGTGAGAAGACTGCCAAGGGAACAGGAGATCAAGAAGCGAGAACAAGTAGACCGAACCCAAATTCTTGAGAGGCATCCATGATTTGTTGATGGGCGAAGCTTGAAGGTCTTCAGCCGAAAAGCTTCCGGAACCATTTCCGGAGGTTCAGCTTTCGGAGGTTCTGGTGTAAGTTGAGCCAGTTCGCGGATTCGGACTTCGCTTTTTGACATGGTGAGGTGTTGCCACGTGTTATCACGCTGACATGTTTGCATGGCACGCTGGAGTGGGTCATGCTGACATGTTGTCAGGCTGAGATGCTGAAGCCGGGTCATGCTGTCGCGCGCGATTACTTGCCGCCGCCGAAAAAGCACTGGCTCTCACTCTTGAATACCCTCCACGCAGCATAGGTTGGAACAACTGTGATAAGATACAATCGTCAGTCGTGTTCCAGACTCCAGTCACCAAGAAATAACAAATACACAATATGCCCAACACAAAATTGCCAAACAACGAACGCCTCCACTCCTAGACACAAAACTGCACAGGGACCCTTCTTCACAATGACTTCTCAAAAACTCTAATCACTATTCAGTGAAGCCCCAAAAACACGAAATCGCAACGACCTTAGCACTTGGGAGTACGATCTCATACACCTGACACCCCCCCGCTCCATTTGGGTCGAAACCTCTCGGTGCGCCAAGCTGCAATGGGCCACCGAGTCTTCAACAGCGCGTGTAGGACCCAGTTAATACCCTTGTCCTGGGCGACGGAAGAAGGCCACAGCCGTTTGTGACAACGAGTCTCGTGGCTCGGTTTTGTTGGGGGTTGGAAATGACAAAGCATTGAGATGTCTTGAGATGCACTCTCTCTGAAACAATCATGGAAGCGGAAAGCCACTGGTTTGTGGACGAAAACAGACTTCCAAGAGGCCATGTTCCACTTCCATGTTTGTTGGAGGGAGGCTAGTTTTTTTCGTCCCAGGCACACGGGTGAACCACATCTTCTTGGTTTACCCACAGGTGTTCCACTGCATTCTCCTTCCCCATGAGGCGACACAGTCGATCCGATCCGTCGAGTAGAGTCGACGAGTCTCTTGCTCGATGAGAAAGAAGGACTTCTCCAGCATCGCCGCGCTGAAGGCTGCCTACGAGGTCTGAAGGCTGCAGGTCTGAAGGCCCCACAAATTCAGTGATCCAATGTGATCCAATGTCAAATCCAGTGGTTCCAGGACCAGAACTGCAAGAAAATAAGAAGCAGAAACACTGTTTCCCTCGCTTCAGTACGTTGTCAAACATGCCAACGGGTGAAGACATGCACGACTTCATGTACAGGCCGAGGCTTTCAACGACCAACGAGGCTTTCAGACTCCTCATAAAAACCGCTCTCTCCTGGAGCCTTTTGTGCTTGGGGTTTTGAGCGGGTTGTTGGATGGAGAATCACCCAGTTTGCAGCAAACATCAGCCAGTTAGCGATGTGTTGGCAAACAGCTTTTCGACAGGGAGACTAAGCTTTTGGTCCCATCCGGTTTAAATGGCTTTTGGTTCCAACTTTGTCGTGCTTTGATCGACACTTAGTGCACGCTGCGCAAGGGGGCCAAAAGAATCGCCACGCCACGCTGCGAAAAAAATATAGTGCTTCCCCAAATAGATAGTCGCACGGTTTCCAATACATTGTAAGTGGAGATCTACTTTTCTATCTATTTTGGGTCTAGTCTATATATATATATATATTATATATTACCCACTCATCGGACGAATCACAGGCGCCGATGGCATACGGGATTCTCTGATCCCTATATGCGCTTGAGACCCCAATGCATTGACCGGGCCAAAAAAGGAGCACTCTACGTTAAAAAGGGAACTCGCCATGACTCAATTGTGCGGCCAGGGCCAGAAGAAAGTGTACACGCAAGATCACGATCCTCAAGAAAGGGCATGGCGTCCATGATAGCGCTTTGCGGTAGGACGCGCCCACAACTCTTCACATAAGTCGCCGAAAAAGTGCCGAGACATGGCTGTGCTGCAGAGTCTTTCAAGAGGTATTGAATACCAAGTCGTATGCGGCACACCACTTCATGAATTGTCATGCAAATGTCCTCATGCTGGAAACGAAACCCGCAGGAATGAAAGGCTACTGCGAGTTCGCAGAAGGCGATAGCTGAACCTGGACTGTTGCACCATCGAAGCTGCCGCAGAAAATCGCACGTTGTATGCCAATCCTCTGTTCCATATTTCCACAACTTAGGAGGTGAGCCGCGGAACGGGATCTTCGGCTTCCACGTGTAGTGAGAACGGCAAGCTTGCCATGGCCACTGCGGATACAACAACTTAGCCTGCTCAAGCGAGATGGTGTCCTTCACAACAGGCCTGACATCATCACAAGGATTGCCATCAACCTGCTGGTCGGACAGATGGCAATGTAATTTCACAAGCCATTCCTGGTGGAGCCCCGCTGCAGCAGTCATAGCAGGTAGAACCTTAGGATAGATAGGGCAGATAGACTTAGCAATCTTCTTGGCAGCAAGGTCAGCATCTCGGTTCCTAAGAACATGCCGCACCGTTGTTCCGGCTGCTTGCAAAGCACAAGGATCCAAGAGGTGCGCTGGAATGTTCTCGCAGACGTGCGCGGGAATCCACTCAACGACAAGAGGGAGGGGATGATGTCTCATTCTATCTCTGAGCACTGAAGCAAAGATAACCCACCATTCAGGGCACCTCCAGTGCCTCTTAACTGTCTTGTTGTGGAGCAGGAAAGTGCAATTGTCAACAACCGCTTTGTTATCACAGGAAATATGGACAGGGGAGATCCATCCCAAAGTTCAGCAGCATAGCTTGAGATGGCCCAACGCCGAACTCTGCCAGACCAAATAGTGCTACCATGCTGATCAACAACTGCGAAGGCAGCGGTGGTTGTCCAATAGCACTCTTTCGCAACAACTGACCCATCCGTCCAGAAAAAAGTGCACGGCTGTTCGGGATAGAAAGTTACAGCATCCTCGAGGCTCGGCAAATCAAAGTTCAAACGAAACTGGGAAAGCCGAAAAGGATGCTCCACAATTCCAAGCAGTGCAAAATTCTCTCCAAGCTCATGTAGACAGGGTTTACCTGCCAGTTCATGGTACGCCGCACATGAGTGCACAATGTGATGGAGACTTAGTGCTGTCACAGAAACGACAGTTGGGTGAACTGACAAGACCGGCAGCATGGAGCCTATCCCTAGTGAGTGTGCATCCAACAATCACGGATTCAAAATGAACCTCAGCAGGAGGGAAACAAGGCGTTTTGAAGGTGGGTTTTCGGAGAAACACGGTGGAAGCAGTGACATCAATAAGTCCCTTCGGTCTAAAGAAGTCCTTGCGTGCATGCAGGGCAGCATTCTCATAAGCACATTGAGCAGCAATTTGTTTCAACCCTTGCATGAAATCGAATGGACAAATCGAACCGATAGCGAGAGGTTGCGAATCGTGGAACCGAATGCGAAGTTGAGAATCAACCTTCAAGCTAAAAATCTGGCAGGATTCATCGAAACGAGCAACAAGCGAGTTATTAAACTGGTGTCTGCTAGGCCAAAGTGCCCTAAGTTTGGTAACAGCATCAGGTTGATCATAACAAAACCTAATAACATCCATGATACTGCAGAAGGCTTGTGCAAGGACTGGGTCCGTTCGATGGGGCTGTCCATGGAAGAGCTGAACCAGCCACTTGGCACGTGCAAGAGGGCGATTCCTCCACAGTGCTTTGACGACGGCACCTTGGATTTTCTGCAGGGATGCTTTGGGAATTTTTGAAATGTGACTCGCATATGTGATTGCCGGAATGGCCTTAGCACCAATAAGATGAGATTTAATCTTAGTGGGGATGGGAAGGGCTCCAATGCAATCAATAGTGTTACAGACTTTACGACGGGTTTTTTCAGGGAAGCCAAAGTGCTCTTTTTCGGTTGTGTAGATGCGGGTTCCAAGAGCATCAAACGTCTGTTCAAGCTTCATGGTAGGAATGGCAGCTTTGATTGCTTTGCGAGCGGGTGTGGTTGTACCACAAATGGTGGATTTGCCATCATTAAGCTTCTGGCCATTAAGGGAGTCCCACAACTTAGTGATTTCGATCGCTTTAGTGAGCATATCAATGTGGATGAGGTGACACCAGAGATATGCGTCGTCTATGTACGCCTTGACGGCAATCTCGGGCAGGTATTCGAGTAAATGAATCCACACTTTTGTATGCACATTGATCGCGATTATCCCTGTGCAACACCGTTAGAGGCTGTGGTGGGTGACGTGTTCATCCAGCCTTTATAGCACAAATGTCTATGGATCCCTTTATAAAGTTTGGTGAACAGAGTGACAAAACCAATCGGTAATCCAAAGGCCAAGAACAACGCAGCAGTGTACTGCGGGAGGATTCGGTCAAAGCATTTAGCTTTATTGAGCTTAACCCCCACGAGTCCTTGCTTCTGTTGCTTGGCCGTGTCGATACCAAGCCGAAGTGTCGTGTGGAGCAACGGCATGGTTCTGCCTTTGATGCCTCCAATGATGGCAGGAGGCATGGTTTGCTGCTGCCATTCCTGGAGCGGCTCATAGCGCGCACCAGTGTAGCTCAGGATGAGCGCGGGCAAAATGGCTATCAGGCGCTTATTCATGGCTTCGGATGGGCCAGGCTTGTTGAGTATGACTTGTTTGGTGCATGAAAGCATACGGGGTAAGTCAATCTCGGGCGTGGTTTCAGCCCATCGAAAAGATTTTGCAATCGGTTCAAAGGCATGAAGCGGAAGAGCCTGAAGCTCGTGAGTCCTCCATCCATCAAGACCGGGGGCAGCATGTTTCTTGCGTCTCTGAATAACACGGTATAGCGCTTGGGCATCGATGGGTGGGAGAACAGCATCATGCGTGTGATGTTGAATATACGGCCAGACAGTCTCTGACATTTTCAGGGGATGCTCATGGAGGGTGTTAACACCATAAACAGGGTCCCATTTGTCGTTAAGACATTGTAGGGCTGATAGATTATATTGCCCTGATCATCTTGAACAATATTAGGTGGTTCATCAAGGAGCCTATTTTTGAGATGCTGAAAGATGTAAGTACATCCGGCTTTGGCAGACTGCTTGACACGATCCTTCCACTGCTTGATTCTAGCATTCTTAGTGGTAGTGGTGGTGACACCGGAGATCCACATCTTGGCACTTTGAATATGAGTCAAGGACAAATCGTGAAAGTCGGGCCACGCCACAGGTGCGCGTAGCTCCTGGAGAGCTCGAGTAACTTTGAGAAAAGTCCTGTGAAACACAAAAGAGTCCTGGTCAGATCGTAGGCCCCTTGTTCTACGAATGAACAGTTCATCAATGCGGGCTTGCAACTTGAACAGAATGCTGCTTCGGCGTGTGGCTGCACAATGGTTAGCATGTTGGACCGGGCAGATTTGCTTGGCCACGACACGGGGTGGTGCGGCACGCTCACGCGGCCCTTGGCCCCATTTACCCCCACACTGCAAAAGGGTTTGCGCACAGAAATCGTTTACCAAAGTCCACCTCAAATCTGGATCTTGGGTCTGCTGAAACTTAGTTTCCCAAGTGTGGTCCCAAGGAGAAGAAGTTGTGGCAGTCGTAGGGTCAGAGTTAGTGGTGGAACCGGTGTGCGGTGAGTGTGAAATCTCGGAAACATCAATGGGTGCCGTTTTAAATTGAACATACCCGAACTGCGCCAGGACCTGCCCATGAAACTGACACTTGATGGGACGATGTTGCCGGCCAACCGTTTCGACAACTTCACAGTGCTGAAGAGCGAAGAAGGCAGGTTGGTTAAGTAAGATCATGTCAATTGAAGAACACCCATCACCTTCCCCCGAAAAGGCAGAGTCACGCGAGTAGGTGTTAGGCCGAGAGATCTGACCATCGAGTTCAACCTGGTTTAGTGGATCGTTCCAACCCAAGTTTTGAACCGCATTTGCAATCGAGGGATAAGACAGAGGGAAAGCTTGAACATCACCCCGTGATGATAACAGGGATGGCCCCAAACTGCGAGACCAGGGTGAAGATATCGGCAAACAGGGCATCGTTATTGTTATGGATGGACTGGTCCTGTGAAGCCCCGGTGATGGCATAAACGGTGCAAATCAACACTTTGCGATGCTGGGAAACCTGCAACCA